TGTTTTTATTTACTTTGTTTTTGTGATGCTGAGGACCAAACCAGGGCCTTGCACATACTAGGCATGCGGTCAGCTGCCACTGGACCCCCAGGCCTTGCCAGGGTTTTTCTTTTTAAGTCGGCAGACATTCTCAGCATGGACATGCGCCCTGAAAGCACTAATTCACTGGATCCCAACAGTGGTCATCGGTTATCACCATTTCCTCATTTTATAGAAACCCGGAGACTCAAGTAACTGGTCCCTGGCGACTTCAGTAATTAGGAACAGAATTGGCAGTTAAAACCAGGCAACTTGATGCTAGAGTACAATTGCAATTACATAGCCACTGGCTATGAAATTGCTGCTTATTCACTTTTTTTCCCGTTCTGGGGACTGAGGCCAGGGAGCATTGGGCCACATCCCCAGACCTTTTCTTTGGTTTTATTTTGAAACAAGGTCTTGCCAAGTTTCCCAGGCTGGCCTTGCACGTGTGATCCTTCTGCCCCAGCCTCCAGAGTGGCTGGGATTACAGTCTTGCATCATCACATCTGGCTGCTCACTCACTTCTGAGCATGTTCCTTCCTTGCTTAAAAGGTTATGGTGGCTCTTACAGCCTAAAAGAAACCAATACAGGGCCCTAGTGGTAGTGATACAGACGCTCCAGCTGCCTCCTTCCCTGTGTGGTCCCTTCCTGTCCTGTCCTGCTGCACAGCCACACGTCTGTCCCTCTTTCTGCAAACCCCACCTGCTCTCACCCCTTCCAATCTACCCTTCTCCCAAGGTCCTCCCAGAGGGCCCTGTTCTGCATGCGTCTCCTCAGCTGCAGCTGGCTGACGTCTCCCAGGGAGCGCTCTGTCTCCTGCCCCCCACCTGTTCTGACTCTGCTGATAGTTATTTCTGTATACACCATATTCTCTCCCTACTCAAGGAGGGGCCCCTTGGAGGCTGAAATCTGATTTTCTTTTCCACAGAATTTAAAATTGTATTAAAAACTTAAATTATTGTTCTTTTGATAATCAAATGTCTGCATACTTGCCACAAAAACCCCAAACATTACAGAATATATGTTTTGGAAGTGAAATCTACCATTGTCACCTCTTCTGCCTAGCCCTAACACAGTTGTAGTTAATAACTTGGAATATACCTTACTGGACCTTTTCCATATGTAAATAATTATGTGTAAAGACATGTGAGTAAATAAAATGCTATTTACACAAGTAGGAATGCATTATATATACAGCTTTATATAGCCCCTTCCTTTTTTCTGTCTCTCTTCTTTCTTGCGGTATTGGGGATTGAACACTGAGTTACATCCCGTCACCCTGCCCCCTTATAAAATCTGATACAGGCTCACTAAATCTCTAAATTGCCCTCACACTTGTGGTCCTTCTGACTCAGCCTCCCGTAGTGCTACACCTGGCTTGTAGCTTTATTTCTAAACTTAACACATTTAGTATTTTTCACATAGATCTGTCCTTCGACACTGGGGCTTCTTCATGCATTGTGAGCACGTGCTAAACCCGTGATATGTGCCCCCATCCTGACTTTGTTCTTGGGTCTCACTATGCAGTTCAGGCTGTTCTTCAACTCATTTTGTAGCTCAGGCTGGTCTTGAACTCACAACAATCCTTCTGCTTCAGCCTCCTGAGTGCTTGGATTACAGGTGTGCACCACCACACCTGGCTGCTTGTTCTTTTTGAATAGCAGCATATTGTAAGACTGTGCAGATGTAACAGTACTTATCTCCAACCTGATCAAGAGAGTGATTTCCCATTTTCATCGTTATGAACAATGCTGCAGTGAATAGTTTCTCTGTGCCTGTCTCTCTCTATGGTCATATGACTTTCTGTAGGACCTACCCTTCAACATGGAATTGCTACTTGAAATAGAAAGGAAAGTCTAAGTAATGACAAATATAGAAAATGTGGAAACAGAAAGTGTGTTTTTGTCTTTCTATACCCTTCCAAGGTCTGCCATTACACCCACTAGTGTGACCGGGCGTGGAGAGGGCAGCTCTGGCATCAGACCGCCCAGGTCTGTATCTGGGTTTCATCTTCAAGGCTTAATTACCTCATCACCATAAGTGGGGAAAGTAATACTACAGCACCTGGTTCTCAATATAGCTGGAAGGCTTACGTGAGATAATATATGTAGAGCAATCAGTACTTAGTGAGTACTTGGAAAAATAAGCACATGTAAGGCATTTACAAGGAAAAATGTTAATAGGTTCAGATAATTATTCAGTAAATAAGGCCCAACAGAACAATTGTAGTTTGCACAATTTTTCTAGAAGTGGGAACCACTCAAACTTTGCTATTAAAGCCAATAGCAACTACATATATAAAGTGACCCGCTAGTGTTGGGGGTACGATGTGTGACTGAGAGCAGTTTATCTCTTTGCAAAATTAACCAGTTTGAACCAGGATCACACCAATGACCTTGACCTGGTCAGTTCGGTGCTTTCCCCAGTGTACCTAACCAGTCCCAGCTGCAGCCTGAAACCTTATATAGTGAGAATCCCAGAGGACAGAGAACAGTGGGTGCCGATGCACAATGGAGGTGATCAGGTTATCTAGTTAACCAGCCATTAACTCAGAAAATGGATATAAAGCACAAAAATTAGTGACTGAGGTAGAGTAGAGGGCTTTTAGATTGGATTGTGAAGCCCTGGGCCAGTGGTCCCCACCTTCCTGTACCGAGACTCCTCCTTGGGTTCTGACATCAGCTCTGCCACTAACTAATGGAACATCCTGAACCTCACCTGTATCCCTTTCTGCTACCCCATTTCCCACAGACAGTCGGGCTGTTTATTGTACCTGAAAAAAAATTAAGACATAAAACCAAACGATTGGAAATATAGTGCTTTAAAATGTGTTGATCAAGAGATGGTGGAAGTGAAAGAAGTTTGACATGAAATGTCCTGCATTATATGATTCCTCTTACACGAAGTTCACTGTCTAGATGGAAGCTCGCTTTGGGCTTGCAGTGGCAGGAAGAAGAGAGGCATGGGGTCACTTCTAGAATGGTGACAGTGGCCCAACACAGTGAACATATTAAATGCCACCACACACACACTTTTTAACATGGTTACAACTGTGACGTTTGTGGTATGTGTATTTTACCACAAGAGGGAAAAAAGTGAGAAGCGAGAGAACAGTTCAACGGATGCCAGTTCAGAGGCACAGAGGGGTGCAGCGGGTTGTCTGAGGATGCACAGGGAGATCCAGTGAGTGCAGCAGCTGTCATCTAATTGGGACCAGCTCCTGGAGAGAGACGGGTGGGGCTCTCAGTGTAGGGTAGGCGGCTGGCTCCGGTCTCAGCTCAAGTACTTGCCTTCTCCCACTGGAGTTAAACGTATCCCAAAATGTATTCCTTAGGCTCACTTCCAACTTTAGCGCCTCCTTGAGAAACCCATCTTACTCTCTGAAGCCCCGGCACCACTGCCTTGGTGCCATTTCCTGACCCGCCAGCCATCTGTGGGTCCACAGAGACCCCAGGCCTTTTACTTCTCATCCCCTCCCGCATCCAACACAGTAGTGCGGGGTACATGTTTGTGGCCCTGTAATTGAGTCTCAGGAGGCCCCCCCAGGGAGCAGAGTTTATGCGTTTTCATGGGAACCATACCATGAAATCTGAGGCTTTCACCTCACAGCTCACACTGGAGACTAAGGTTGAGAGTTGGATTTTCTGGGACCGATTATTCAGCCCAGGCGACCCACAAGGACGGATGGTTTCCAGTAGGAAGGAACAGTGTTCCCTTGTGCAATGCATCCAATAATCTAATTTTGAAGTGAAAGGATTTACACAGCATCTTTGCGTGGGAGAATAGCCTATAGACTGCAAATGCTGACTCCCCAGCCCGTGAGACCACTCAGCGCTAGTGGCTGGGACGGGAGGGAGCAGAGCTATCAAGTGGCAGGCGAGAGCTTCAAATCGTGGCGCCTGGTTCTGGTTCCAGAGCTCGCCACGTGGCTGCGGCCACCGACCGCTGCGCTGTGTGGCCCAGAGCTGCCAGAAACCTTCGGGAACACACACACAATTGTGCATGTTGTTGTGCTTACACTGGTGATTTCGCGTGTGTGTGTCCCTCATTCAGTGCGAGATGTTTCAAGGCAAAGTCTTTCTTCACACCTGAAGGAGCGGCGCGGCTGGTTTTCCCTCGGCCATCCAAGTGGCAGAGGGGACGCGCGGTTTCTGGGTGTGGGCTGCGCACCCCCCCCATCACCTGGCCGAAACCCGCTCCCTCTCCCAGGCAGTGTCACCCTGGGCGCCGCGACTTTCCAGTCCGCTCTTCCTCCAAGGTTCTGAACGAGAACCCTGACGTCCCTTCCGCGAATCGGGTCCCGGGCGCCCAGGTGAGCCCCACTCCGGGGTGTCGGAGCTGGCCTCGTCCCCACTGGGGACCCACTAGCTGCAGGCCAAGCCGGCGCCGGCCGGGGTGCGCGTCCCGCGGGGGCTCCAGCTCCGGGGAGAGTCGCTGTCAGTCTGGGCGCCGCCTGCTGCGTCCCGCGTGGGCGCCGGCGTCAGAACCCGACAGACCTGCCTGCCGCCGCCGGGGACCGGGCTCGTTACTTAACTTCCCGAGTCTCGGTTTCCTCATCGGTCCAGGCCGATCCCCACAGGTGCCGGCGGATCTGCGCCCGGCCCAAGTCCCGGGACCGCGTCAGCTCGGTTCGCGCTTGCCCGGCTCCCACTTTCTGCCCGCCGCGAGGCAGGACGCGCGTGTCCGCGCCGCACCCCGGAGCGTCCCCGGAGCGCCGGCGAGGGCGCCACGGCGCATCCAGGACAACCCGGAAGGATCCGCCGCCTTCCGACCCCGACCCGCGCCGCTCGGCGGCCCCGCTCCCCGGGCGCCCCGGTCGGACACCTGCGGCCGGCGCCACCTGCGCGGCCTGGCGACCTCGGGCACGCCGACAGCCCCCGCCGCCCGCCGCCGCGCCCCGGCACCCTCTCCGCCCCCGGAGGAGCATTGTACTCACATCCGGGGCTGGGTTTTGCCTTAATACGAAACGTAATTAACCCGGAAAAAAGAGCCCGAGGACAGGAGCGAGGGAGGGGGCAAGGTGCGGGGGGCGGCACGGCCCGAGGACGCCAGGCGGCCTAGAGGTCCCCACGCGCGACGCAGCCCGTCCGATGTGACGAGCCCCGCCCGCCGAGCGCCGGCCCTACACGCGGGGTGAGTCCGGGCGCTCAGGGGCGCGGGGCGCGGGGCGCGGGCGCCCGCCGGGGGCCGTGGGCGACGGTCCCGGGCCTCGCGCCGCCAGCCCCGAGCGAGCGAGCGCGGCAGCCCCTCCTCCCTGCAGCCCGCAGCGCCGGGTGGCCGAGGTCGCCGCCGCCAGGGGTCGGGCTGCGGGGGTGGGGCCGGCGCGGGAGGCGGGGGCCGGCGCTCCGGAGCTGCGTTTTCTCACGTTTGCAGCGGCCAAACTTCTGCGCGGTGCTGGCGCCGGGACACTGTCCCCGCAACGACTGCCGGCCTGCGGGGAGGGGAGGCGCGGCGGAGCACGTCCCAGGCAAGTCCCCCGCGCGCGGACCGGCCGCGGAGACGCCGCGCTACCTGGCAGGCCTGGTCTGGCCCTGCCCGGGAGACCCTCCGTGGCCGGCCCATCCCCGGGCTTCGGCGGGTCAGGGCGGGGAGGTGGCCGGCTGGTAACTCCCGAAGGTAGACTGAGCGCCTGGTTGGATAGGGACGCCCCTCGAGGGGGAGAGGTCTTCCCTCGCCGGCCCTTTCTGCTCCAGTCCTGGAGACTTTCTCATCAGAATTAAAAAGCAGTAAAGAAGAGAGCGAAGCGAGCAAGAGGCTGGGCGCCGAGCGGAGGACGAGTGCGCGGCCTGTCCGGAGCAGGCGCAGCCGCGGAGCGCGGGCGCATCCCTGCCCGGGCCGGCCCAGCCCCCAGCCGCTCGCCGGGGAGGCTTCCTTCCTTCTTGGGGCGCGGAGGTTCAAGATGTGCCTTCCGCTTCGAACTCCTTCTGCCCCATTTCTTTGGAACTGCAAATAGGCTTTTCGGAGGAACATAAACACCAGAGAAGGAGCGAGAAGTGGGCGTGGGGCGTTGTGCCAAGATGCCAGCTGCGGCTCCGGGGGCTTCTCGCACTGCTGCGTGTCGTGGCACTTGGGGCCAGAGCTCCAGAATCGGCCTGATGTTGTTCTTAACATAACTGACCTCCTTCTTCGTTGTTTTTTCTTTGTTTGGTGGCAAAGCTTTCAGCAACAGCAAAACCAAAGATTTTGAGAAAATGGTTTTTTTTTTTTTTCTTTCCCATTTCAGTTGCATCCAGTTGACAGCTTTTGGTTCATAAGGAAGGATTTGTAATGCAGGGACGAAAAGAATGCAGCCCCAGCTGGAGGGCGCTGACCATTGGGTGGAGGGTGCAGTATCCAGGACTCAAAGTGGAGTCCCCACCCTGTTTTGAGGAGCTGAGGAGGTTTTCACGAGCATCCTCTTTGTAGGTGTTAACCTTTTCCACTGCGTGCCACTTGAAAGTAGATGGCTTTAGCATGGCACAGATGCAGCTTGTAAGTTCAGAGTGCAGCCAGCCCAGTGTAGGACATCTACTAGGTGCCAAGTAAATGTTTGTTGGATGACTGGTTGGCACTTGTAGAGATGGAAGAGAAAAAGCATTGTGGGAGTAGTTCATGCAATACAGATTGTGTGCACCAAACTATATGAGTTTTCTCTGGCTTTTAGACCGTTAATATATGACACTATGTATCTAGTTCTACTTGTAAGTCCCTCTCCTACCCCCAAAATTGTGGCATTCTTTGTTTTAGCTGGCAGATTAGAGGCATCTTGTTTATTCTGGAGATGGGTAGTTATTTGGGCATTGATTTGGAAAGTGCCTGCCTTTTGGTGAAGGGTTTTTGCAAATCCTTTTTTTATTCCTTGTCGCTGGCATCTTCTCTCTTCTGTGTAGGGAAGTAGGCTTGCAGATTGCATTGAGTAATCATGATGAGCTGAAGCGTATTCAGCTTGGATTTTATCAAGGTAAATTAAATCCTGAAGACATGCAGCTTTTGGTTGGTGGCTGCCCATGGAGAAATGATTCAAAAGTGGGAAGGGGGCCTGGGGTGTAGCTTAGTGGTAGAATAGTAGAGGGCTTGCCTAGCTTAGCGAACACAGCAGGGATCCCCAGGATGCCAAAAAGTTTTTTTAAAAAAATGAGAAGGGCCGAGCATCAGTCCTGTCAGTCAAGCACCAGGCTTGACTCTTGGCTTGCCAGGTGTTTGCTGAAAGTGCTCGGACACTAGGAAGACCAGGACAGCAGGAGCTTGAGCTCATGCAACTGCCACTTTCTTGGTGATTTCTGTCCTTTCCCTGGGGCAGGTGCACAGATAAATGCTGGATGGTGCAGATTAGATCGTGCTGTGGGCCACCGGGAAGCAAGCAAGCATCCCTTCTGATTCACTGAAGCTCTGGGGGCTCTCCTTATTACCTCAGCCTGGAAAAGAGGACGTTGTGTTGCTTAGCCTCCTCCCGCTGCCCACTGTGAGTGGTTTGGGTGGCCTTACTTTCAGTTTCTCCCCTGTCTCGGTGAGCTGATTAGGACTCTAGCTTGCTTAGGCTTTGGAAGGGAAGGAAGCAGAGCAAACATTCTAGTGTAGCAGCCTGTGGGGAGAGAAGAACTTCAGCCCTGCCGAGGGTGAGCTTACTGAGCCAGGGGCTTGGACAGGCTGGGGAGAGGGGATCGCCCTTTCCTCCGGGGCTATCACTGCAAGATCCCGTTGACCTCTGTTCCCAGTGTGAGGCCCTCCAACCTTTCAGGCCTTGTAGTTGGCGTCTCTGTGCAGTTTACCTTCATATCCATCTCTCCTGTGATCCTACCTGGTTGAAGTGGCTTGCTGCTGATTGAAGGCTGAATTGGTTCTTTTACTGTGGAGGCCTCAGCCCTATTGAAGCTCTTCCTGTGCCCAGAGTGGGCAAAAAAACTCTCATCATTGAGCTTGTGATGTGTTTTTTGGCCCACAGAGGCTGGCTGAGATAAAGAGGATAGGAAGTCAGGTCCTTTCATCCCTGGGTGCTCCGGAGTCACTGCAGAGGCAGGACCCAGGACTCACCGTCCCAGAGGCTGGGACTGCAGTGTGGCCGGGACCCCGAGAGTCCAGTGTGGGTTATGTTAACTTTCAGCTGGCCCGGCTAAGACACAGTTTGTGGATCACTTGAGTTTTCTTTTAAATCTCTGTTAGAGATGGAAAATGTGATGGTTCTTGGAGCAGAGGTAAGAGTGAGAGAGATGGTACCTTTACTTGTGAGAGGGCCCTGTTGGTGCAAACTTTCCATTGAGGTTTGCTGGTGGACATTTGTGGAATAGAGATGGCCTCTGTAGCTGTCTGTCCTGGGCTAAGGATAGTAGTAATGTGAAGTGATTTGTTCTCTTTCTTTCAGATTTTTTGTTTGTTTGTATCCTTTGGTTAGTTTGTCTTTTGGTGCTGAGGCTTGATCTCAGGGCCTTGCTAATAAACCTGCACTTTAGGGCTGAACACACACATTTTGACAGTAGCATTTGGGTTTTTTTGTCTTTTTTTTGTTGTTGTTTTGTTTTTATCGGTACCGGGGATCGAACTCATGGCTGCCTATTTGCAAGGCAGGCGCTTATGCCACTGAGCTAAATCCCCAGCCCCATGACAGTAGCATTTGTTTAGTGCTTTTTCTGTACTAGTCCTCCTGTCTTAACTTTTCACACATTATTTCATTTAATCCTTGTTGCAACCTTTGAAGTAGGTAAAATGATTATCTCTATCCCTCAAAGTAGGAAACAGGCCTAGAACAGTTAAGTAGCTGGTCCACATTTGAATCCACATCTGTCTGATTCTAAAAGTCGCTTTTTACTCCCCTTTCCAAGTGGATGAGAAACCGAGGTCAGCACACCCTTCTTAGAGTCATCATCTTGCAGAAGTTAAAAAACACTCATGCTGATCGTTGTCACCTGCGTATCCTTCTCGCCACACCCAGGCTCTCTTCCTTCCCTAAATAGAGACTTGCCTTCAGGCAGACACACCTAGCCACTTCCCCCTGCACTGTGTGAAAGGCCTAAGTGGAGGAAATAACGATGTTCTCTCTTGTTCCTCTCCCTGCTGTGGCAGTGCCCGCTGGCTGACTCGGTGTGGCCAGCACTCTGGCCTCCCATGCCACTGCTGCAGGAAGCCCCACAGCGAAGCTGCATTCTCGTGTTTTCTAAGTGGGGATTTTCAGGATTCTGAATGTGCAGTCTCTGCTTCTGCAGGTCATTTCTAGACCGGATGTGGCTGGCTGGCTGGCTGCCTGCGGAAGTGGTCTCGGCCTCCAGCCCCGTGCAGGCCTTCGTCATCTAAGGGCTGCACCTGCGTGAGCGCAGAGAGTGGTGTTCAGAGAGGCCACAAGTCTTTAAAATATATCATTTTTGTCATCTTCCCTGTAGTGGTGTCAATTTTCCCTTCTCCCCCAATATTTATTTCCCTGTTAAAGTGACTTCTTCAGTGTGTCTCCTCTCCCCAGTCCTGGGGCATGGGCCACTGGGCCACAGGTTGGCAGCGCCCTGCCTGCACCTCCCCATTCCTGAGGGTGTTTGCATTCCTCACCCCAGTGCTTCCACAGGCTGGCTTCGGTGCATTCCTTTCCCTTTCACGCTGTTCTCCTGCCTCCGATTGTTTGGAATCTGTTCTTCTTTTGATCCTTTGCAGTGGTCAATATTATGGCAGGGAGAGATGGATGCTTCCACACTTCCTGAATTCGAATCTTGGGCCCCTCCTCAAGGCTTGCTCTGGAACAGCGTTTGTCGTTGTCCTTTTCACTGGGCCTTTGGCATCAACGTGGCTGCAGTGCATGCCCATGTGTTCATCCCAAGCACTTGTGAGCCCTGCTCTGTGACCCGAGTTCTGCAGCCAGAGTCTTGCCACCTGCCCTCTGCTCCCTTTCCGGCTGCTGGCTGCCTGCTGGGTCGCTGGCCCCTCGGACTCCACTGGCAACTTCTGCTAAACTTTCTCCTCTTACAAGTTCAGCTGGTTTTCTCTCACCCTGTTTCTGAGACCAGACCACCAACCACCGTCTCTGTCCTCTGTCCTGGGGGGGCTCCCTGTGTGGTCCATGACCCATCATGAAGGGCTGGCTTTACTTTTATCTGGAACAAAATTCCAGTAAGCCCCTATGCTGCCATTACAGGGAAATCTCAATTTAAAAAACTAAAAACTGAGGTTGTAGATTA